CGGGCTTGGGGCTGGGGTGGAGAGGGACACTCACGAAGCAGGAATCCTTGCCTCCTTGGGAATCGCCAGCGCACACCATGTCCCCCCAGATGTCGTAGCGGACCAGGGGCTGTGTGTACAGGTAGTTACACATGGTGGTGTTGATGATGCCGACCTGTACTTCCTGGAGGAGGTAGGGGGCTGGCAGCACTGCCCAGGGGCCGAGGGGACAAAGAAAGACGGCACCCTGAGCCTCTCTTCTGCCATCTGCTTGGGAGAGATGGCACAGGCCACGGGGGAGGGGGGAGGGACGAGGGTCCCTGGGGCCAGCAGCACCCGGCACGTCGTGGGGGACGGACCCGCTGCCGCAGCTCATCGCCGAGGCCCGGCTTCCCTGCGGGCGCGTGCGGATGGCAAGCGGCCCCCGAGCCGGTGGGGAGGGGCCGACACAGGTGACCAGGGTTACGGTCACTGTGGTCCAGCTGCCCGTCAGGTGCTTCCAGGCCTTTCTTGGGGCCCCCGTGGCCCTCCGAGGGCGCGGCCTGATGGGGACCCACTCTCAGGTAAGGAAAGACTCGGCGGGGAGGGCTGCCCCTCCCACCCCCAGCAAAGCGCCAGGGAGGCGTCAGAGCCCGTCGTGAACCCAAATCTGTCCAATTCCGAGCCACCGGCTGACCCGTCCGAGGACGTCACGACGATACCACGGTTAACGTGTAGGTGGAGCCTCTGGTCCGCCAGGGACTCTGCTGAGCCCTCAGGTAGGAACCTCTTTAAATTTCAGAACCACGCTCTGTGCTGGGAACCGTTTCACCTTGTTCTGCAGATGAGGAGGCCCAGGCACAGGGGGAGGAGATGCCTGGCCTGGGGTCTCCCAACCGGAAGGAGGGAGAGCTAAGCCTCCCAGCAGGCAAGGGGGGCTGGCAGCCAGAGTCACCTGCTACCTCCTAGTACGAGTCGGGAGCCTGGGGCCGGCCCTGACTACCTGTCAGCCTCGGGCCAGGGAGTCTGGTGGCTGGGTCCCTTGGTTCACACCCACTCAGCCCTTTGGGCCGGGAGGGATCTGCAGGGGGAGCAGGGGGACACTCTCTCCAGTCCCTTGTAAGGAAGGGACAGGACCCCAACTCTAAAGGAAGGCAGGACCAGCGCAGGTTTCTCTCTCCGCCCTGCCAATCCCCGATGTGTGACCTCGAGGACACGTTGTTCTCTCGGTCAGTGAGCCCCGGCTTCTCCACTGACTCCTTCTGGGACCTTACGGCCACTTCTGTAAGTCTCTCCCTTTCCTCATTGATAAAGCAGGTATGAAAATGGCCCTGCCTCATTCGCAGGTAAGGCCCAGAAGAGAGACCTCACCCTGCTCGGTCCTCAGGGTCCAGAGCCTAGAACAGTGCCGGCACGAGGCGCACCCTCGAGGAAACTTCTCTGCCATCACTGCTGAGGGAGGGGTGCTGCCGGAAGGGGCCAGGCCAGGGAGGAGCATAGGGGGCCGCCCAGGCATAGGAGCCAGGCCCTGTGTGTGGTGCTCAGGACCCAGGGCACCTCGGGGCAGAGGTGCACGGGTGACGCTTCAGGCTGGCTCAAGGACCGCCCCCCACAGATTTAGTGGGGAGTCAGAGAAAGGAGATGCTTTGACATTGCAAAGACAGACAACGGGCTCAGGACTCCAGGCAAGGAGACAGGGTGGCAAGGCAGGTAGGTGCAGAAGGTATGGAAAAGCCAAAGCGGGGAGGCGGGACGGCTGGGGGCTGGGTGAGCACCCGTGCTGAGCGGAAAGAACGCACACAAAACCACTGAGGCCTTTCTAACGCGACCTCCGCCAACCCCGACGCCCTTGCAGGCTGGGTGCGGAGCGCGGGCCTGGGCCCAGCTGGCCTCCCTCTCACTGTGGCTTCGGGCTCACAGTCTCTGGAAGGCAGAGGGAACGGGGTGTGGGGACAGGAGGTCCTGCCCTGGCGGGGGGGGGGGGGGGGCAGGCACTGCTGGGCAGCCCCCAGGAGGGACCCAGCTGCACAGAGACCCAGGTGGGGGCTGCTGAAGCCGCTGTGGACGGAACAGACGGCGGAGCCCGCAGCCCCCCCCCGCCCCACCCCCCACCTGCCCCCAGCCTCACCTTGATCTTCTCCGATGTGCCCCCAGCCCGTCACCCAGCAGTCAGTCTGGTTCTGGAACTCCGAGGAAGAGGCCGCAACACAGACGGGGTGGATGTACTTATTGTAGGTGACGGAGGAGGACAGCTTCAGCAGGGCGATGTCAGAGGATGAAGCCCCCAGATACATGGGGTTCAAAATGATCTCCTCCACCTGGTACCGGTTGTAGTAGGCCTCCAGATTCCAGATAGACGGTGAGGCAGACAGCTCGCCAAACTGCACGGACCACTCAAAGGGATCAGTGTGCCTGGCAGGGGAGGAGCGGGCGGTCAGGGGTCTTTACAGGAGGGAGGGGCCCTGAGCCCACCTGAGGTCTTAGGGACTGGGGGGCAGCAGCGTGCCTCCGCCTGAGGTGTGGTCACCTCAGCCAGGGGGCCGCCTCCCACAGCCGTCCTAAAAAGGAATGAATCGATGCACGGGACCAGACACTTCCCCTCACCACTGTTGCCGCAGGCCAGGCTCTGTGCCCAGAGCTCACCCACCTCGGTCCGCCCGGTCCGCCCGTGGTGCACCTGCACCGGGGGAGGTGGGATGAGGAGGGGGCGGC